ATATATGTCTATGTATATGTATATATATGTAAATATGTTTTCCCTTGGGAATTTGACGATTGTTGCTTCTGGAGGGCCTCTTGGGACGCCTCTTGGTGGCTTCTTGGGGTGTCTTGGGGGCCTCTGGGACCGTCTGGAGGCGATCTTGGGTGTCTTGGAACGATCTTTCGGCGACTCGTAGCCCTCTTGGGCCGTCCGGGGGGCCTTCTTGGGCCCTTTTGGCCCGTTTTGGGGCCCCTGAGGCTCCAAGGGTGCGGCCGGCACCTTTGCCCCCTCCCCCCCCCTCCCCCTCCAAACCGACCAGACCGGGCTCCCGGAGGAGGGGATCTCACACACCGTGACCCCAAGGGGTCGGCGGATTTGAGTCGCGCGAGCGCGTGCCGAGCCTGCTCCGACGTTCTATGGCGAAGTCTCCGGGGGCACGGAGGGACTCCCTGAGCCAGCTCTTATGCATTGAGCGGTTTTGTTGGTAGGTTCCACGCTCGTCGAATGAGTTGGGTTCCTCACCAGACTAATGTGTCTGTTTCTCTTTGTGGGTTTTGTCTCTCTCTCTCTCTCTGCCTCTCTCTTGCTCTCTCCCTCTCTCTTTCTCCATCTCCCTATCTCTCTATGCATGTGTTTATGTATGTATATGCCTAGTTGTTTTTTGTTGTTCTCTCTCTTTCGTTCTCTCTCTCTCTCTGTTTTGTTTTCTCTCCCTCTCTCTCTCTCTCTTTCTCTCTTTTGTTCCCCCTCTCTCGACATATGTCTCTCTCTCTCTCTCTCTCTCTTTTTCCGCCTCTCTCTCTCTCGTTATCTCTCTTTCTATGCGTCTCCTTCTCTATCTACCTCTGTCTTTTTCTCTCCCTCTCCTCCTCCTTACCTTTTCCCCTCCCTCTGGTCGATGTAGCCCGCTGTATCCCTTTGACTCGTTGACATGTGCAGGACGTTGATGCGGAGAAGGGGATGGTGTCAGCGAGAACATATGCTGATGAGAAGTGGAGGAGGAGCAGGAGGATGAGGGATATGAGGAGGAGGAGGTGGAGGAGGCGGAGGCGGCGGAGGAGGAGGAGGAGGAGGAGGAGAAGGAGGACGGGGACGAAGAGGAGGAGGAGGACGAGGAGAAGGAATCATCATGCGGGTATCGGGGTGATACACGGTGACGAGGAGTCGGATGAGGCGGACTGCATAGCATACGATGACGTCTAGGAAGTGGCATAGGAGGAAGGACAGGTAAGGGCAAGCAGCAAGCGGGATGAGGAGGATGACTGGGCGGAGTTGGGTTGGATACCAGTCAGGCTCTTGCGGAGTAGGGTGCCGAGATAGCGACCATACCGTTTATCAGAAGTGTGTTCTAAATAGATGTTCACAGTTTAGGGTCGTTCGGTTATGCCCACCTTATGGCGTTCCCTTTTGGGCGGGCGAGCTTGCCCGAATTTTGGGGAGGGAACAGGTAAGAGAGGATGATGTGGGGAGGGGGTCAGAATGAAGATGAGGAACACCCATGTTCGTATGATCGGCTCGTACGTGCTCGTTTGGGAACCACCCCTGGATCGTTGGACGTGAGTGATGTGCATTCCAAAGAAAGGTCATGACTAATCGTGATGACAAGGGCGATGATGAGGAGGAGCAGAATGAGGAGGCGTAGAATGGCGAGGCGGAGGATGAGGAGGAGGAGGAGGAGGAGGAGGAGGAGGAGGAGGAGGGGGTCCTTAGCCATTTTTGGCTCAAGGTCGTGGCGCGCGCTGCGAGCAGCGAATCGGCCTGTCGATATCGACACTTCATCTGTTCCATTTTCTGGTCGCACCTTGTTGATGTTTTTGATGCAGCAGGATCCCCACCTCTTGATAGCGAAGCTGCGCAGGGGCGCCATGCTCAAGATGGCACAGGCAGCTGGCAGCCCATTCCAGGGACTCGTTGCAGCGGCGGTGGGGCTGCATACGGACTCGACCTGGAAGCGGCGGTTGCGGCGCTGGGATGCCACTTTGGGGCTGGTGGGGAAGATCAGCGAGGAGAGCGTGTGGGCGCACCCCGCTCGCTCGAACAAGGAGCTCACACGAGGTTCCCCCAGCAGGCAGGCGCAGCGGTCATCAGTTCGTAGCAAGCCTAACGAGTTTGGCATCGAAAACCAGATCGAAGGACACAGGGGGCTCTTTCATGGTTGAGGCAAGCTTGAGCCCTGAGGAGTCATGCGTTGACAAGCCCAATCAGGAATTCTAAACGCTTCGCGTATCCCCACCAGTCCGTCCAGAAATGAGCCCCAGGGGAGTGGAGGTGATGAGGGAAGCGGGGAAGCATGCAGAATAACAAAGGGCGGGGTAAGCCGCCATACACCCCAAGAGGGGGAGGATGTAGTAGGAGTCGTCGTCGTCGGAGTAGGAGAAGGAAGATGAGGAGCAGGAGGAGAACCAGGAGGAGGAGGGGGAGGAGGAGGAGGAAGATGAGGAGGAGGAGATGGGGGAGGGCGGGGACGTGGAGGACGAGAAGGAGGAGAAGGAAAAGGAGGAGGAGGAGGATGAGGAGGAGGAGGAGGAGTAGGAGAGGGATGGGGGAGGGGGAGGAGGACGACACATTGGAGGAGGAGGAGGAGGAGGAGGAGGAGGAGGAGGAGGAGGACAATGGCGAGTTTAGGGTGCCTCTTGGGCCGTCTTTGGGGCCTCTTGGCGGTCCTGGGGCCCTCTTGCGTATCTCGGGGAGCCTCTTGGGGCCTATTGGGGGTCTGTTGGGGCCCCGATGGGGTCTCTTGGGGGCCTCCTGGGGGCCTCTTGCGGCCATCTTGGGGCCATCTTGGGACCTCTTGGGGCCTCCTGGGCGCTTCTTGGGGCCATGTTGGCGGAGATCTATCAAAGACGGGGGGGGGTCCTCAATTAGCACCCCCCAGGAGGCCAAAATGTGGCCAACACCTTAATAACATCAATGATGCTGGCTCCCTCGCCGAGGACATCTTGGACGCTCCAACGCATCGCCGCGCCCCCCGTCCAGGTCCAGGGGAGGGGGTAGGGGGATGGGTCAAGTTACCCCTTCCCCGCCCGCAAGCCGCCGCAGCCGCCGCCGCCGCCGCCAAGTGTACTTTGTATTGTTTTTTGACATGGATGGCGGGGGGGGGGGGGCGCATCGGGTTGGCTGCGCATGTTCCGAATTTGGAGGCAGAGTGTGTTTTGTATTGTTTTTTCAAGGAATGGTGGTGGGGGGGTTGTCATGGACCCTGGTTGGCCCCCAGTCGCCTGGGGGAGGGTGTGTAAATTAATGGGCAACAGTGATAAACCCTTCCCCGAAGGGGAAGGAGGAGGGGTGGACGAGGAAACTCTCTAAACCACCTACGCCCAGAGGGCTGGTGGGATTGCACGTGGCTGCGTACACCAATCATGAACGCTTGTTCGACATCAAAGATTTGGTCATGAGGGTCGGGGCAGATGTCCTGCGAACGACTTCGCTCATGGCCGACCTCGGAACGAGCCAGCCGCAACTCCATTCGCTGATGCGCATGCTCATGGAGCGTATGCAGCCAACTCGGAGCGTGCGCGAGGCGAACAGGCAACGCGTCTTTCCATATATATATATACATATATATATATATATATATATTATTACTATTAAAAAATGCACATATATTATATTACATTTCATTACATCATATTATATTGTATTATACTATATTACATTATATCATATTATATTATATAATATGATATTAAATTATAATATATTGAGTTATATTATATTATATTATATTATATCATATTATATTATATTATATTATATTTTCTTATATTATCTTATATTATATTATAATATATTATATTATATTATATTATATTATATTATATATATATATTATATTATTAATATAGTTTATATTATATATATATATTATATTATATTATATTATATTATAATATATTATATTCTATATCGTATATAGTATTGTTTTTTATTTTATTATAGCATTATTTTTCGTATTAGTACTATATATATATAGATGTGTATATATACAACAAAGAAAACGGGAAACAAAAACGGGGAACACCCACTTGGATTCAAAGACGTATGCGGTGACATGCAGCAGCAGCTGGTTACCCAGCTCGACTTGCGCAAGGGGCAAGTGCAAGCAATGGAGAAGTCCTGGGACGAGAGCAGCAAGGCCGTCTCTCGCCATTGCGACAAGTAAGCGGACACATCCAGAATCTTCGACGCCCATCAGGAACAACTGCGGCAGTGCTTAAAAGAGGCTGCAGCTCTTGCAGGCAGTCCGCGATCTGGGGGTGCAGAAGGCACAGCTTCAGCAGGAGGCCAGTGCGTCAAATCCTAGGTCGTCGGGTGTTCGCATATCGAAAGCAGCACGGGGTTCGAATTACATTGTAAGCATGCGGTCTGAGGCTAGACGAAAACGATCTGAGGCAGGCTGGCCATGGCCATGAGCAGCCCAGTCTTTAGATCTGGCATGCTTTCGGCACTGCGCGCTCATACTTACCAGAGTTGTCCTCATCATCCCACATGATTGCAGCTGATCCGCCCCTTTTTCCGTGGGCCTTGTGTTAGAGAAATCTTTCTGTTGTCTGCCAGTGAGTTGCACTGGGCAGCGAGGTGCACTGGGGGGAGGGCGAGGGGGCGAGATCCCAGCCGGCGCCAGAGCTCAGGCGCTATGGCTTGAGAGTGCGGCGGGCGAGCGGAGCCAGCAACCTGTCGTGTGTTTTTGTTTGTTTGTGTGTGTGTTGTTTTGTTATGTAATTTTATATACATACAATTTTTTGCGTGTGTTTTGTTACATAAATTATATACACATACAAATCCACATACATATAGTTATATGTATGTATAGAAGTGTTCGGTGTCTCTCGCTCTCCATTCTTCCCCGCTTCTGATCACCTTCGGTATCCCGCCCTCTCCCACTCGTTGGCGTTCGACCCGTTGCCTTCCAGCAGTGGCGCGGCAGCGATTCGATGAGGGCGGGTTTGCGAGGTTACATTGGTAGTTGCGTGTGTGGGCAAGGGCAAGCTCGAGGCGCTTATAGAGCTTCCCAGGTTGCGCGAGCAGCTACCCGCACTCACCCATCAATTTCTTGAATCAGTGAGGCCAGGCGAATTATGATCTTGCGTATGGCATGGGCCATGGCACCTCCATTCCCGAACAACCACCAGTAGGGTTTTCTGTTTGCCATGCGGTGGCTTGCATGTTCACGCTGGGTGCTGTTAAGGGCATCCCTCCGTTCTCCCTTGTGGCCAAGGGAAGCCTTGACAAAAAAATCAGGGATTGCTTCCCGAAGCCTCCTGCCGCAGCTGCCACATTGCAGCGAGCGGTAAAAAAGGTCGGCGCGGGAGGGATGGGAGGTACGAGTGGGAACCTGCACGAATAGCTTCCATGCGTTGGGCCCATGGCGAGTTGGCCTGCCCTGGCGCGCAGCAGAGCCGAGAGGGAACCCACTCGCGGCACTCACCCTTGCTCTTTCTTCCCCCCCTTCTTTCCCGCCCCTCGGAGGTGGAGTGGTAGAGGGTTGCGAGTATGACGGCGAGCGTGCGTGCGTGTGTTGGTCTTTTTGTTTGTGTGCGTGTCTACTGGAGGGGGATCACAGTGGATCTTCCTCCTGTTTCAAAGCGTGCAAATCCCAGCTGAAAGGGGCTGCTCGTTCCAGAAGCTCCCACAACGAAACTGGATGGTGAGCCGCGCGGGAGCCATTACTCCTGGAGCAAGGGGGTGCCCAGAGAATTTGGGGTGTGATGAGACATGGTGGATTGGTGCTGCCAGTTATGGGCGCCCCTTCCCTTCCCCTCAACATTGGCTGGACTATGCATGTGATCTGATACTTTAGGACAGTTGGGATGACGACTTCCTCCACCACATTTAGTAAGCGGGCTCCGGCCCACCCGCGCTGCTCCTCAGGGGCCCGCCGGCCGGCGGGCGGACTCAGCGCGCTCCGCTCCCTCCCTTCCCCTCCGCGCGCATGAGCGCAGGAGTTTGGGCACATCCGTCCCCCTCCCGCCCCCCTCGTTCCCTCTTCTCCATCTGTCCCTCTCCGTCGCGCCTCGAGCGGCGCGCAGCTTCCTGTAGCTCCATCCCTGCGCGCAGGACTCTTCAGTGGGAGCGCGGCGCGTGCGAGGAAATAGAGGAAGCGGCAAAAGAAGAGGAGGAGGAGGAGGAAGAGGAACACATGGGAGCAGGAACTCACGTAACTTGGCGAGGAAGGGGATGGGCACTTCACATTACGAGAGCAGTGGGTCAGGCGATTGGGCACGGGAAGAAAATGGGGCTGGCGGGTGACGTCGAGGAGTGCAAGAGGTCAGCATTCGCATTCGCTTGTCAAAATGGCTATCGCTTGCTGCTGGGGTGCAGACGGCTCGTATTTTCATTGGAGGCGACAAGCTGGCGCTGCCTTCTGCGAGCGCGGCGGAGGACTCCCGCCCTCTTTCGCGGAAATAGTATCAGTATTCTCCTCCCCCCCCGCCGCTCCTCCATCCTTCCTCGTCTCGTGCCTTCCTCCGCATCATCCCAAGCTTTATATTCCTCCGTCATTGCCCACTACCCGTGCAATCGAGGGAGCTGCGATTCGGGGGCCTCATCCAGCTGCTCTTTAAGCTTGTCTGTTTTGCATTGATCGTAAGGGATAAGCTTTCCGCGGCTCCAACGCCACGGGAGCCCCAGCCACCAGAAGGACCAGAGAACAGGAGCTAATCAAGCATACCCGGTCCAGGCCGACAATGAACAAAACGTTGCCCGATTTGTTCTTCGTGGTGGCTCTCGGCCTGGCCAGATCGTGCTCGATTGATTTGTTATTGCTGCCCTGTCGAGGCGCTGGCCACCGTGGGTCTGCACCCTATTGTGCTGGGGTGTAGGAGAGCACCTTTTTGTTCCCTGCCGATAACGGGCATCACCAGGGGGGAGGGGCCGAGGGGGCCAGTCACGCCGCGACTCGCGATGGCGCCGTCTGGGAATATTTAGGGATAGCGGCGCCGGCGCGAATCGTGACGTGACCAGGGGGGGGGAGCGGGGCTGGTCACGGGCGTCATCGCAAATAACCAAAACGGTTTAGTCGGGGGGTGGTTCGCTTCCGCGTCTTGGGCGTGGGCGTCTCCCCGTGCGTGGTGTTGGAAGTGGCTGGCAGAATTCTGACGGTTCGCTACTGAGATCCCCACTGTCTTGCAATAGTTGGCGACATCGTTGTTCAGAGCTTTTCGGTGCCCCCTGTTGTGACCCGTCAGTCTTCCTGTTTCCGTTTCCTTTTCCTGCAGGTTCGGAGGTTTCTTTTTCCGCTGATGCCGCATGTTTCTTTTCGGATCAGTTCGGCATTGCTGAGCACCTTGTCAGGGGGAGAGGGGTCCTGAAAGACATGCTTTCTGGACGTCCATTGACGCTACCGGGGCCCAGTGATTTGCTGGTGGTCAGGTTTTCGCCTGGTGCACTCCCGTGGCCGCCTCGTGGCTGCCTCGTGCGCTGGCTGGCTGACGGTTCCAGCTCGCCTCGTGGCCGCCTTTTGGGCGCCACCGTGGCCGCCTCGTGGCCGCCCTGTGACCCAGCTGACGGTTTCGGAGTTTCGCCTTGTGCTCCTCTGTGGTTGTTGTGTGGGCGGCACGACGCACAGATTGCGCCCCATGCTTGCACCACCACATGTCTTGCAATCCAACGAATTGCGCCGTGTATCTAGCACCACGTTGATTGCACCATGTAGGTTGTATTCCATCGATTTCACCGCATAGTTTGCATACCGTATATAGCACCAGATCGCACGCAACACACACATAGCTTGAGTCACAGATGTTGCGTCTCATGAAGAGCACAAGATGCATGGCGCCATATATAGGAGCATTCGCATGTTGTTGCCGCTGTCTTCGGAATGTATTGGCAGGACATCGTGGACAGCACGGGTGAAACATATCACTGACGTTTTAGTGTAACCCACTGCGTGCTTCAGCTGATGACCGCGGCCCTTCCCTGGCAGTTACCCCGAGAAAATGTGAGCGAGAGAGAGGGAGAGAGAGAGAGAGAGAGGAAGAGAGAGAGAGAGAGAAGAAAAAAAAAGAGATAGAGAGAGAGAGAGAGGGAGACACATGAAAGAGTAAGAGAGCGGCAAGCAGCGACACGTAGAATTTATGTTCCCCGATTCTAGCCCCAGACCAGGTTCTGGCCCCAGCCCTGGCCTCGGAAAATCATCCCCTAAACACATGTTTTCTTTAGTATCTGATTGCCTTTCGGCTCCGGCCCCGGCCCCCAGGCCTGGGCCTCGGAAAACATCTGGCCCTGGTTTCCAGGCCCGGGCCTTGAAAAGGACGCCCCAAACACATTTTTCTTTACCATTTGATTGCGTTTGGGCTCTGGCCCCGGGACCCGGCCAGGCCCGGACCTGGCCCGGGCCCGCACCTGGCCCGAGTTTGGCAATGTTGCTGCCAGCCGGAACCAACGACACTTTCCCCACCACTGACGCCACCGACAGCAGCACCACCCGTTTGCGCCCATAGTTATGCACAAGGAGCTGCTGACTTGTGATGCTGCGTGGGATGCGTACAATCTTCTTTGCCAGACCCTTGAAGACACCTACTCATGGATTTGCACAGGGTGCGCTTGCCCAGGAGACGACGTGCCGACGACCTCCTGGACGAAACACACTTTGAAGAATTGTTTCGGTGAGACACGATCGGGCTATACACTCAACGGTGGCGTTAGCACAATCAGTGTTCTGCGATGCGTACTTGTTGGGGTGTATATGACGCGGGTTGTGATGAACCACGGTTCGGTGTATTTCTGTGCAACGCGACTTCGATTGTTACATATTCCAGCCTCTCGACTCTAGCTTCCAGTTGTGTATTTGAGCAGCCTTCGCCACAGGCACCAGCACCACCCGCCGTCTGCGTCGATGATTACACAGCTTATAGAGCAGCAGACTGTGATTCTGCGTGGGATTTGTACGGTCTTCCTGTCCAGTCCCTTGAAGACACCCACTCAAGGGATTGCACAGGGTGCGCTTGCCCGGGAGACGTGCTGGCACCTACGTCGGCAATCGCGTCAGCACCCACGTCTGTACCGACGCCAGCACCCACGCTTGAACCGGCGTCTGCACCGATGCCAGCACTGACGCTTGCACTGGCGACTTCCTGGACTCAGCACAAGCATGGCAGCGGCAGAACATTGGTGAGCTACACATACCCAACAGTTCAGAAAGCATCATCTCAGCGTTCAGCGATGAGGTGCATATCTTCACTGTTGCGCTGTGTCGTCGTGCGATGCACTGTTGTGCGATGCGTCTTTGATCACAACGGACGCCGACCTCTCGCCGTCATTTGGAGGTTGTGTATTCGAGAATCCGCCAGCACCGACGCCTGCTCCACCACCGACGCCTGCTCCACCACTGACGCCACTGTACCAGTACCACCCGCTTGCGTCCCTAATTACACAAAGAGCATCTGACTTGTGATGCTGCGTGGGATGCGTGCAATCTTTCTTGCCAGACCCTTGAAGACACCTACTCTGGGATTTGCACAGGGTGCGCTTGCCTGGGGGACGTGCTGGCACCCACGCCAGCACTCACGCCGGCACGTACGACGTCGACCGCGACCGCGACCGTGACGTCGACCGCGACATCGACGAGCACCACGACGCCGCTTTGGATCGTGAGTAGCAGATCTGAGTTTTCGAGCGCAGGGACCATGGAGCCGGTGAGCTCGGTGGTGACATCTCACCTCGCTGCCACGCACACTTCGGAAGAGGACCAGTTGTCGGTAGTTGTCTAGGGTCCTTCCAATACGTCAAATCGGCGGTTCTCCGCGCTATCATCATTGGAGATTGATTTCGAGATTGTCGCGCTTGAGCATGCCGCCCAGGAGTTGCTTCAAGCAATGGAGACCATTAGCGTGGACTCCAATGGTACTGCACTGGCCATGCTGGCAGCTTACGAATCGGAGGGACTTGACTAGATGACGGTTCATCGGTCGTCGCAGAGTCAGATCTGAGGATTGTCACCGCCTCTATGACTACACAGAGCGCGACGTCTTTAATAGAAACAGGATCCTCTATCACTAGTAGGACTGCCGCGGCCACCACCGACTGCACAAGCGCCACCATGGCAAGGTCCTCCATGACGAGCGC